TTAGATGTTCTATGAGAAGAACTTACTGAAGCAAATGTCTAACTTACCTTCAATGGGTACTTATCGATACCGGCAATGATAGCGTGAGGATAAGCCCTATCAGCACCACCTTCATCTTGAGCTTTCACAACAAGTGCTTTTCTGCCAGCGTACTTCCCTCGTAAGACAAGGACAACCTTGCCCGGCTTCATAATTTTACCCATAGTGATCCTGTTAATGTGAAAAAATTGAAGTCTTGCAAATTTAACAACTTTTTCAAAAAGGACATTCTTTGAAAACAGAACAATATGAATGGAAACAACCACCGAAGATAGAAGACCATTATGGGATAATATTTATTATATGTACAACTTTAATGTGATGAAACATATACTCTTCGTAGTTTTTCTTTCTTGTTTTTATTATGATGTCGTTTATCATTTCTTTCCGCCGTTGTAGGCACCACAGTGGCGCCTGTTGGCAACGCGGAATTGTGCTTCGAACATTTGACGTGAGCCGCACCTTTAGTTTCTTCGAAAAACATTGAATCCAGCTGCCTGTTCGCAGCACCTTCGCCTTCAAGAAGCCCACGCTTTTCTAGTTGCTCCAGCTGAACACGACCTGCTCCTGACTTCCCCGCATCAGCTGGATACAGATGATTATTGAATTCATCCTGGTCAACACCTGGAGGACAGGCAACCCATCGTAGCCGCCCCGCCACAACATCCTTGATAAGAAATCGCGCAGCCCTTGAACAATCCGGAACTCCTGCTGCCGACATAAACCCACGCATGAATGCTATAGAGGTGAGCAGATTCAATGCGGACGGCTTCGATCCTTCTGGCAACATAATCGAATATGTCTGCTCAAAAAATGATACTGGTACACGAGTCATCAAAAGAGCAACTGGTCCAAAATATTCTCGCATTTGATCAGCTGGGAGGATACCTGCAAAACTTAATGTAAAAAGATACATGTACATATTAGGGATGTCGCGCAGATTTTACTAAACTACACAACACTCTAAAGCAAGGAATAAGACTATGGAAAGACCTCGTTTTGGGAAGATGTTCAAGTCAACGCAAAAATCAACAAAAGTTATTCTCTATCCCTTTTCA